ATGTTTTAAAACATGATTTAAAACAATTCAAAAATCATTAAAAATCATTAAAAAACGTTTTTTTGCCATCCCTACCCTAAACGTTCCTACCTCGAACCTCGAGCTACTAAGTAATAGAAATTTGGGAAAAATTACATTAAGGCATGATCCATTTTGCAGATCGTCACGTGTTATTAAAATTTTGTTTGCGATTCTGGGGTAGTTGAATACGACCGCTATAGATTAATTTGAAAATGGTTGCCGCTATTGAGCATTGCGTTTTTTGTTTCGACATCCTTGTTGCCCATTTTGAAGGAAGGGAGCATTTAGAACCAGAATTCGAGAATGCTCAATAGTAAGTTTCCTAGTTTATTTCTCATTCGACTACTGCACCTTTCGTCCAAGTACAAAAAACAACGTTTATCCTGAATGAATTCATTAAAATAGCTCGAAGCAATGGTATATTATACTAATACCTTTGCATATTTAAAGTCCGCTCTTTGTAACTTGGAACAGTGTTCATCAGGGTCAATCTCGTCTTCGTGGATGCATCGGTAATTTCGATGCGCTACCTCTTCATTCTGGCTTAAAAGAGTATGCTATTACTAGGTAATCAACCGTGAACAATTATTAAGCTCGATCATCGAATACTTTTTGTATCGATTGTAGAGCGACAATGTTATTAACGACTTGTTCGCGTCAGCAATGGCTACATTGGGACATCTACCAATGGATCAGTCCATCATAAAAGTCTTGCTTGTAGGCAGACTTTTGGTATACAATATTTATAATTTACTTTCAAAGCTACTATAATCTCATTCCTGACATTTCCGTACCAAATTTGGGTGTAATATTTTAGTGCTATGCATGATAATAGATTTTCACCCATTACTGCCCGGGAGCTTTCTCATCTTACTTGCGGGTCGGTTAATTTTATCATAGACTTTTGTCACTTTTGTCTCATTTCGAAGTGCTTTATGCAAATCTTTAGTATACTAATACTTATACATTCATATAGAGTTTCTCTTTTGACAAATTTTGAAGATGCTGAAGACTATCTCGATTAGAAGGTGATGATTGACAGTTTTTTAGATGACTCCTCTAAGTTTTTGCCTATTTCTTTATTGATTAAATGAATAGTATAATTCAATTAGATCGGCGTTCATGGCATTTGGATAGAATTTGTTGACGATTATAACCGTCGTCGGACTGCCACTTACTTGCCCGAAGTTGCTGAAGAACAAGGTAACCAATCATTTCTGTGCATATTATCAATGTCAATTACTACAATGAAGCATATAATAACGAAATATTACAGGTTGGACAAAAGTAGAGGCTATTGACTCGCTACTTCGTAAAGGCGGATACAATGGTCGGATCACCGATAAAATTCGTAGTCGTGTTGTTCTTACACGTTATCAAAGCGCAAAATATGCTATAACTTATGATGAATATCTCGAACATATTAGTAAAAAACCAGGAAAACATAGAAATAAGTAGGGTTGCGACCAAACCTTTTTTTTGAATTATGACATTACTACATAGTTTGGGTCTATAAATTGGATTTCTAGTTTATTTGGGATAATACAGTATCAAGATCTAAATATACAGCCAATAGTGTAAAATTCCAAAACCAATTAAATTTGTTAATGCTATGAATTATTAAACCTTTGTTATTTTGAGAGGGATGTGGCGACTAAGCATGATCTATTGAATAAGTAATAGGTATTCCACGGGCTGCTGTGAATATCATGGATTAGCACAGCGATGCCCGTAACATTTCTGATTAAATTTTTGACATTACGTCATCATAAAAATATCATCAGAGCGAACATTAGGGGCCGTGGAATATAGTGAGATGTAGGGATGTTATTTGGCCTGGTCTTGGACTAATAGACTGCGGCCCGTCATAGGATCAATCTGAACCTATTAGAAGTTGATCCTATTCGGTCTAGTCACAGTCTTAAAATAGTCCAGACAGTGATCTTAAACCAGTCTTAGGACTGGTCACAAAACCATTTATATTGTTATTTAGACCGGCTCTAGATTAGTTCTTATGTAGATTTATAAAGACCAGTTCAAAATCGGTCTTTTATTATAGTTCAGACTGAAGGTCTGGACCACGAACAGTTTCTTATTTTAAAGACCGGTTTAGACCGGTTTCTATTATGAATTTAGACTATAAGTTTAAACTACTGGCTCTCTAAACGATCTTAGAACTGAACCGTAATTAAACAAAAAAAGACTGGACCGAGCTGGACTGAAAATAGGTCGAGCCAGACCGAACCGGACTGTTAACATCCCTAATTGTCAATAAGATGTTACAGTAGGTCCAATAGTTATATCGGGCATGCGCAAAATAAGTGAAAAATGAAAGTCAAAACATTCAAATAAATTCGATTCATAAATATATAATAAACCTTCAGATCAAGTTTCCTTCGAATAGAAGTGCCCAATAGTTCTTAGAAAGTAAAACCCTTAGTGAGTGCTGCCAAAGGAAAACGTGACTTTGGACTTTCAAAGTTTATTATTATCAAATTCAGCCCTGAAATAGAGATGGGCAAAATAATTTTGTAAGAATTACTTGACATATCCTAAGTAACTAGCGTATGACCCGTGCCTCCGGCACGGGTTAGGTATAACTTTTTATCCGTGTAAGGTTAAAAAGTTTTTTAGAAGTTACTTTATATCATAAAAAATTAATTGGAGTCTTCGTTGACAAAATCATCCTTCGGGAGTATGATTTACATAGTCCCGAAGGGTGATCTTGTTAGCAAAGGTCCCAATTTATTATTTTAAATAAGTGAAAGGTTTTAAAAAAAGAAAATATATTACAGAAAGTTCGTTTACTGAGGAGATAATGTTTTTTATACTTAAAAGCTATAAAATTTGAAATTTTTGAGGTTGATATAAAATTTGAAATTTTTGAGGTTGATATAAAAAGGTTTATTACAGTATTATATAAGATTAGCTGCGCACAAGTTTATTAAATAAATTATAAGTTTGTAAGTAGTTTTTTTTTAGAATTGAATCATTGTAAATTTAGGATTTATTCAGGTTGAAATAGAAATCTAAATATGACTCGAGTTGAAATGAAATTTTAATTTGTTGATTTTAAATTTGGTATCGGTATTGTAATAAATCGGTAATTTAATATTTAATAACTTGATTTATTTTGAATTAAATGTTGTAATAACGATAACGTATGATCGAAGTGATGGCAGTTAAAGTAGATTATAGGCATTCTCAATCGCCTCGATCAATGATCCAAAATGTGTAGTCTCCGTGGTTTTCATATACAGATAGTTCTCATCGAGTATAAATCTTGTATGCATGATTATTAACAGGATTTACGATTGTTAATATGGAACTTTATCATATTGTATCAATAAAAAAACTAGTTTTCAGAAAACTAGAGAAAAGGTGTCAATTGGTGTAGACCTCGGAGTATATAGGTATAGAGGGTT